AGTTCGATAATTAAATTGTGTAATACATATTAGGTAATCAAAAAGAGTTGCTATTAAACATGCAATTTTTCTTGAGCAATTGCACAGCTGTTTTATGTTCAAAAGTATTATTATTGTACTCTTTATTATATAGGTAAAAATTAAAAAATTAAATAATCAGAATGTATCTGTCAATAGAAAAACTTCATCCTCAATACGTATACAATCGTTAATATTAAAAATTTGTTGAAGAATTATTTTTACAAAATATCACCCTTTGCACTCGAGAATATTTTTCTCGGCAAATATTTATTATTTTCTGATGAAATATCAATGATATTTCTTATAACATACAGAAATATCTTGCATAAATTAATGGACAGAACAATTTTATTTCAATGTTCCAATGTTCCATGCACTACATAATATTTAATATTGATTTTTAAATTTTATAATTTTATTATTAAAAAGCGCCTCTCAAGTGGAAAGGATTAAATTCCTTATGTGTCCTGTTATAAGAATCACCTGAAATTAAATAAGATAGTAAAATATCGAGTATGTAATCAGTAGGAAAGAGATATTTTATATCATTTATTCACTTGGCTGGTAAACAAGCGTATTAATTTATATAAAGAACAGCGAGGCGCCTTTTCTTCGCCGATAGTCGTCGTCAAACTCATTGCATGACATCACTGTTTGCCACGAAATTATGAAATTGTAGCCAGCCCGCCGAGGCACTTTAATTGAACTCACTTGAATACGGGTGACGTACGACGCGGTTTCCTCGAGAGCCATTGTAACTTGCATTTCGTCTTAAACGGTCGTCATACAATTGTATTAGAACGTTTTACCTCTAAAAATAGCATCAGAAGAAACGATCTGAATTTTCTGAACTCTGTTAATCATAAATGTAACGTACTGCATTAATGCAGCGTGTAAATAGACAAATGGAACTTTACTAGTGTGATTTGATTTCTTTATTACTTAAAATGAAATTAAAACGATATTTCACACTGAAATTACCGAGCAGTTTTACAATATATAGGAATACAATAAGCAGATATATAATATAATAATATACAATAAACAAACAATGCCATAATTATACTTATTCATAATTTTCCTTAAATATTTCCTACTTCCATTAAAAATAAATGTTCAGTAACGTAAATAACTAGATAATAGTGTGACGTATGAACTATGATACCATATAATTAATAATTGTCCCCTTTTCATCTTTGCTACAAAAGAATAAGTGATACATAAAGCACTGAAGCTCTTCGTGACAGTCCACGTGTTAACTGTATGAGTATTATTTCCATCTGTCAGGCATTAATTATTGTATTTTTCTGTTCTAGCAAAAATGTGTGAAAGCGCGTGCACTGTACGACAACATTGCAGAAGCTCCAGACGAATTGGCTTTTCGAAAGGGCGATGTTCTCACCGTGCTCGAACAAAATACTGCTGGTCTTGAAGGGTGGTGGTTGTGCGCGCTGCGCGGCAGACAGGTAATTACTTCATCTAACGAAATTTTACAATGTATTGTCTGACAAGACACAGTAGATGGTTCCAGGAAACAGGAACGGACAGGAATGAGAAAGGGAGAATATTATATGGTCTGCTTAATTATGAAAGTAAGTCTATTTCCCCTTCTGTTGAGATGTTTGAGGGCTCGTGCATTTCAATAAATTCCAAAATACTAATCAAATGTTCTGAGTTTGTTAACATTTATATGAGCTCAAATAAAAATGAATATATTATAGAGATGCTTTCATGTTAATAGTAATAATTTAGTTAATAATAATATTTTGTTTTCCATTATAAATGAACTTACACTATTTTCGTGATAAATGAGTTCCTCATAGTGTATGAATATCTTAAAATATCATATAAACCAGAGATTGTCTATAAATAAAAAGTTTACATTAACTTATAAAGTAGGCTATAAATTATCTGTTCTCTTAATTTTGTCTACGTATACGGAACAATTCTTTGTGAGATTTCGAAAACACCGATACGTCTTTCTACAGTTTTATGAAACATGAAAAGATAAATTAAGTAACTATAATGACGTGCAGTAAATTGTATACACTCAGGAATAAAAATTCACAATTTTCGAAAGATAAGGAAGAGAAAGGCACGACACCAAGAAAAATGAGATAAAAATAATTTCTCAAGTTTAACACCAAAGTATTCTCCCTCAACCTTTAAATACGACTTTATATTTCGAATTTGTAATTATGAAAAGTGACCCTTAAACACAATTTGCTTTTAGTAATTTCATTTTATCTTCTTTCAATCATGTTACACTTATTATAAGTAAATAACAACTTCGAAATAGCATTTCTTAAAATTGCTACTACCGCCAAAACGAACGGACTCATTAACGAAGTTAATATTTTGCTAGGAAATAAATATCGTAGTAAAATTTCTTCTCACTGCATCTGGCCGAAGCTTTCTATCGATCCCAGGCTCGATTTTTTGTAGGATGCGCTAGTCTTCGGTGAATCCACCCCTTCGGTAAACTCGACGATTACTCATTCCACGAACTCCCGCAATTGCCTTACTTATCGAATCCTGATGATCGAACGACCTACCGCTTATGTCGGGACCACACTGCTATTTGTGAGTAGCTCTGTGTTCGTTGACCATTGTAAACCGTATTCTATTCGTATTCTATTTTGAACGGATCGTAACAGTTCACTTGGGTTTCTTCGTATGTTATTTATTTCGGTAGCAGAGAGCTTCGGTATAATTGAAACTAATAAGTAGAGATCTCTATTACATGTATATTTAACAATAAAATTAAAATTAAAATTAAAATTAAAATTAAAATTAAAATTAAAATTAAAAATTAGAAAGTAAATTATATAGTTACTTTCACTTTAACATCAAAAGGCCATTATTCAATGCACCATTAGTAATAACATATATTTCGAATAAAATGTGGTACTATATTACTTTTCGAATAGAACAAGCTTCAAATCAGCGTGCATACATAGTTACTTGTCCTAGTTTCAATATTTTGTCAAATATTGAGGTAATAAGATAGTGTAAAACTTTTTCCAATACCTAATATATATTTTACAAATCCTTTCACATAATTAACCCGTTCAAAACATAAACAGTGGTGAAATAAGAAAACTGAGACCCGCCATTTTAACGGATGTAATTATTCTACTATTAACTCTCCAATCGAGAGCAATGTGGAATGCGTGTTCCACATATTTCGTCAAATATTCCCGCATAATTGAGCGTTAACCTCTTTTGAGTATTTTATCAGGCAATTGTTAATTATCATCGTTATTTATTAGTCTCGTTAGTTAATCACTTGTCATCTAATTCTTAGAACGTATCTACATAACAAATAAAACTAGCCCGCAATTTCATATTGAAAAATCAAAAACTCACCCCCGGTTAGACGGT